TATGTATGTATGTATGTATGTATGTATAGAGCGACATGCACATGCACAGGCATACGCTATATGCATGTATATATCCAACAACGCACAAAACAACCAAAAAGGTAGGTACCGGAGGGGGGGGGTTGCATATATATATATATGTTTGAGGTGTCCGTTCTTAGATTCCAAACCCGTGGCGGCAGAGGTAGAGGACACATGCGCGATCATGCGCGAAGCCTGATGCATATATTCAGCGAGGAAATGGCCACCGGTTAAAGGCGCGTCGAGTACGAAGTTCTTAACCTCGCCCGGTGCCTGCTGGAAGTTCGGATTTGAAGGCGAGGGTTTGGAGCTCCGCTTAGCGTTGCAGGCGAGACGAGCTCAAGCTCCCCCCCATTGCCCCAAAGAACCAGGTCACGTTTTGCCAGGACCAAACATGCAAGGCGCTGTGACGGGAGCACGATGTCGGAAGGCGGAAAAAAGCACGGAAACAGTGGCGGAGTGGCGGGAAGACGATGCGCACTCCAAGACATGCATGTCCAAGCCCCTTCTAGAGAGGTGTGTTTTTCCGGCCGAGGTCGGCTTTCTTGGAACACAGAACCCTCTGCCAGCTCAGGACCGGGATGGTGACAAAGACGAGTTCGCTAACTGCTTCACGAACAGTTACGGCTTGAGTTTCGGGCTCGGTTCCGCCTCCTTCCGCCCAAGGCGGGGGTCGGCCACCACTCAGTCGGAAGAGAAGGACGAGATGGTGGAAGAGGTTTTCTGAGAAAGACTTTCAAGTTCCAAGCGCGGAGGAAAAGTTAGAGCAGGGGAGCTTGAAGCAGGCACCCCTATCCCGAAACTGCTCTAGACTCTGAACCCTAAGCCCCAAACCCTGAAACCTGAACCCTTCAAAAAAAGAAAGAACCCTGATCCCTAATTTGACCCTGAACCCTAAACTAAACCCTAAGCCCTAAACCCTAAACCCTGAACCCGGATTCTGCTGACTGCTGCTAGTGGAAAAAGGGTGTTTAAAAAAAAACCCTGACCCCAATTTCTGGGCTCTTGTTTTTGGCTGTTTCGGAGGCCGGGCCTTCTGGAGGTCGAAGCCTCGATGCGGGAATGCAAACGCAAAGGGCCCTGGCGCCTTTGTGTCGGTGGCTCTGTGGGTCCCTCCACGGTGTTCCCTTTTTAATGGGTTTCTCTGTCGGGTTTCTATAAGGGTACTAATTATAAGGGTTTAGGGTTTAGGGTTTCTATAAGGGTACTATAAGGGTTCTATGTGGGTAGTTCTCTAAATTCGGGTCCGGCTTCAGGTCCCCCAAATAGCACGGCGCCGCCAAACCTAAACCCTAAAGGTGGCCGTCATTTAGAGAACTACCCATGGTACACTTGACGATTTATGCGATGATTATTCTTAGCACTACTACAATAAACGATAGGATATGCTACAGTATGTTATGCTAGAACATACGCCATAACATCATACTGTACTCGAAAATATATACAACCAGTATTCAGTATATATTAGAAGATGTACTACAAGACTTATTTTCGTAAAACCTCAACATATTTTTTCCTATATACCATACTATTCACTATGTCTACTTATACACTGCAATAAATCAAAGTAGACGAACATGTGCTATAAGAAGCCGAGGTGGTCTTAGGCAGCCGCCCAAGCGACCGGCACTCAGCCGCACGGCCTTTGCTTTCGGCTTGATCCTCTAAGAAGTTTTGAGGATGTTTTGGGCCTTGGCGACGTCGTCTTTCCAGCGGTGCTTGCAGGCTGGGCAACGGGCTCAGAGGCATCTGCACGTGGTATTCCCTCAACCCGGCACCTGGCTGGTCTGAAGTATCAGCAAAGGCACTGCGCCGAGATCTTCAAAGTGAGTCCGGAAGCAGGCGGCACGGCTGTGAGCATTCCGCAAATGAAGATGAGACTGGACAAAATGGCAGGCCCGGGTATTTCATGGCTGCGCTCCTGGGCTACGTGCTGGGGCTGCTTGCCTCACTGGTCAAGCTCTTCCAAGATTCCTAGGGCTCTTGTGCTAGGCACTGCTGCAGCCACTGGCACTAGAGAGTCTGCATCCCGCGCTGCGTACCAACCAAGGCAGATAGCGCCAACCCCGGGAAGTGATCACACTCCACTATCCCGCGCCTCAAATCCCAAAAGCCGGAAGTCGTCTTAAACCCCAAGCCCAACACGTTCCAACACCCACAATGCAACTACTCGTACCACCCGGAACTCCTTCAATCCCGGGCTGTCAGAGGTCGGCCGGCTGCGAGGCTTCCGTGTATTGCTTCAATCTGCCGGGCCTGCCGGCAGGAAGCCCGGAGAGGAACCCTTGAAGGGTATGGGTGGATGTATTTCTCGAGATTTAACTTACGAACCGGTTCGAACGTCTCTTTTTTGTAGGCCTTGGCCCTCCTGGTGCCTGCGATGCTGGGCCCGCGGCCTCAGCGACGCGGGGCCCAATGGGGCAGAAGGCACATTTAACTCCATGGGCGCAATGCCGCAGGCTTCGACATAAATATCCATGTCTAAGACTGCAGGCCCCGAATCTTGAAGTTCTTTTGGTGCCGAGGCTGCGTTTCTCTGCTTGCCGCCATCCGGGGTGAGCTGGCTGAGCTATGGGGGGATGAGCTGCCGTCCGAAAAGAGCGCTCAATCTGTGCAGGGCGAGCTAGTGAGGCCGAGTTCTCGAGATCATCTGTCGCTGCTTACGAAGAACGATTCCGGCAGTGACAGTGTTAAGAGGTCGTGCAATGCCTTGAAACAAGACCCTCGTCTTGATAGGAGACCGTTCGGCTGAGGAACTTGACACATGTGTGCCCGCCGAGCGCAGGTCGCGCAACTGCCGGCAACTTCGACATGGCAGGTCATCTTTAGGCCGCTCGAGCAGCATCTGGAAATCGGAAAGCCGAGGAGAAGCTTCCCGAAGCAATGTTATCTTGGGATGTCTTTCCTGGTGACGTTCGGCGGGTTGGTTCTATCGATTCACTCTGTGGAGGATGAGCCCAGCATCAATCGATATCTATCAAGGCTTTGAGAAAATCTTTTAGCCCGAAGCCCTATAGAATCCTTGAAAGAACGTAAAGCCTTACAGAACCCTTGAACGAAAACCCCTGTAAAGATGCCTCGAGTTCTCCAAAAAGGGGGGATTTCTTGGCAGAGGCACGCGGACGGCCCGGTGGGAGAGGACCCCGGAGCCGACCTCCTCACCGGGTGCCTGCTGGGGGGGGGTGCTTCCCTGAAAGTTCAGGGTTTAGGGGTTTAGGGTCGAGTTTGGGGTTCAGGGTTTGGCGTTTAGGGGTTTAGGCTTTCGGGAAAGGCCGAGCTTCAGCTTCGATTATGGGCTCACGGTGTCCTGAATGGCGCCCTGAAGTTTTGGAACTTCCCGAATCCGCCAGAAACGTCTGAAATCTCGAGCCACGAAACCCTGGAGCCTGGAAACGCCGAACATCCAGAAGTCCTGAAACCCTCCGCGGCCTGCGGGGGAGTGGCAGGTACGGCTTCGAGCTGGCCATCAAGAGCAGCGAGCTGGAAGCTCAAAGCGGGGTTGTCCTGTTTCGCGGGTCCCCTTCCGGCGTTCTCCCTTGTCCCATTTTGTCATTGTCAGCTCTTCAGTTTTGGCCGGAAAGGTGCCAAGGAAAGCAAAAGACATAGCACAGGGACAGCCCCATGAACGATCGCTGAGGTACAAGACGCATGCAGAGGTGCCGAACTTGGCATGTGTTTGTATATACCTCTGTATATATATATATATATCTATCTCTATATATATATATGACTCACTATTATTATTCTATTCTATTCTGTTCTATGCTGTTAAAAGATTCTGTTATGTTTCGGGTGGTTGGAGAAACGGACGAGGTGCAGATCTCGGAGTCGCTGCAACCGTAGACGGATGGCCATCTTGTCCCCCGCAAACCTTCCCGGGAAAGCTCGAACAAGTCCCCGACCCTTACAGGAAGACGAGAAGGGCGACAAGGAGGACTTTGCCACGGCTCATGTTTCCAGGTCTAACCGGACAGGAGAGTACGAGACGTACTCCCTTGAAACTTGCATCCGCCACAGGGCCAAAATCGGCTTGCAGTTTTCGCTCATGCGGGAGCCCCCATGGTTTCGGTGCCAGTTACGGAGTACGCGAAGGTGTCGTCGGCCGACTATTCTTTTAACTCGGAGTCCCTCAGGCAGAATGGGGCCAAAGTGGCTGTTGTTGCAGAATGGCAGCACGGTTTGCTGCTCCTGTCTCGCTTGGATAATCTTGCCGCACGAACGACTTCCAAGGCGTATAGTGCTGTTATTCAAGCGTGCGGTCGCAGCGCCAAGTGGGCCTTGTCGTTGGCTTTGCTGACGACCCTTGATGCTCAGGCCGTGAAGAAGGACGTGATGGTGTACACGGCTGCCATGCGAACTTGTGGACTAGGAAGACAGTGGCAATTAACACTGGAATTGCTCAGTGAGGCGCTAGCCAGCTCAGTGCAGGTCGACCTGATCGCCTACAATGCTGCAGCCTCCGCGCTGGAAAGGAGCAGCCAGTGGCAATGGGCAGTGGCGCTCCTGCGGAACCTCGAAGCAGTCAGGCAAGTCAGTGACAAATTCACGTACAGCTCTGCCATTAGTGCCTGCGGCAAGCAGGGCCTGTGGCAAGTAACCCTCGACCTGCTTGCATGTATGCGACGGACACAGATCGAAGCCGATGTGCGCACATACACGGCCGCCATCGCCGCCTGCGGTGCTGGCCGCAGGTGGATGCAAGCTCTGGCTGTTCTGATGGAGCTTGTGCCTTCAGGTCTGCAGCCAGACGTGATTGCACACACAGCTGCCATCCAGTCCTGTGCTCAAGGAGCTCAGTGGCAGCAGGCTTTGTGCCTTCTGGATCACATGCCCTCATTTAGTTTGCATGCAGACCTTTTTGTCTACAATTGTGTCATGAACGCGGGCGTGGAGAGTGCACAGTGGCAGATAGCTATTGGGTTACTCGAGTCGCTGTCGCGGAGTTCCTTGAAGGGTGATGCCTATACATACAGCATCTGCCTCCGTGCCATTGGGTGCGGAGAGCAGTGGCTCCACTCCTTGGCCCTCGTGCATGCTCTCGGTGATCAGGGGCTCTTGAACACCACGATTCTGAATTCGGCCATCGGCTCCTGCAGCAGCTGCTCGTGGCAAGCAGCTCTGGAGTTTTGGGCTCTACTTGCACGTGCGAATTTGCAGCCAGATGAGATCACGCCTGCCGCCGTTATTGGGGTATGCGAGAAAGGAGGGAAGTGGAAGCAAGCTGCCGCCTTCCTCCAGCGAATGGATCGAATGGCACTGGAGACCAGCCTTCGAGCCTGCACAGCGGCGATAGGCTCCTGCAAGCTCCAGGCAGATTCATCCCAACGGCATGGGATGGCAGCCTCAAGTGCATGGACTTGGGTACCTGCCTTACGGCTGTTAGGCTCCCTGGAGCATCTTGGACTGCAGGGCGATGATTTGTCCACCAACTACGTCATCGTGTCTTGCATGGCTTCGGGACGATGGCAGGAGGCTCTGGCAATTCCCGTAAGAACCGAGGGTGTGGCCACCTCCGCATGCAACGCTCAACTCGCCGCGTGCACGGAATGGCAGAAGGTGCTCGCTCTGTATGGTACTTCGCTGCGAGCGCAGCTGACTCCTGACCTCGTGACGTACAGCACAGCCATCGGTGCTTGCGAGAAAGGGGGGCAGTGGCTGCAGGCTTTGGACTTGCTGGTGCAGATGAAGGGCATCCGGCAGGTAGATGCGATGGCGTACACAGCAACCATAGGTGCCTGTGTCGGGGGCGCGCAGTGGCAGCATGCGCTGGCACTGCTGGCAGAAGCAGGCGGTATCCGAGTGGACTCAGACGACATCATGATTGCTTCAGCAGCGACGGCTTGTACCAAGGCCACTCACTGGGAGCTGGCCCTGGACCTGGTCAATCAAAGAAACGCAGGAAAGATAACAAGATCCACCGTTTTGAGTGCTTTCCTCAACAATTGAGGGAACTTGCATGCAGGAGGCATGCCGTCGGAATAGAAAATGTCGCAGGGACACGAGCCGCGTGTGCATTCAATTCAAGTGAGGTGTTGCGAATCCAGTCTAGCTGCCTCGTTCTGTGGGCGTGCCACTAAACCGTAAACTTTAAAAGCTGTACACTGTAAACCCCTTTCCTCGTCCTGGTCTGCCCGGAGTCCCGGAGCTGTGACCTGCAAGGACGAGAAGGCTGATGCTAGCTCCGAAGATCCGCAAGGCCCAGCCGGTTCTTGGGCTGGCAGCCTCGGGGACTTTTCCCTGCTAATTTTCCTTTCCAGGCGAGGTGGCCGGGAAGCTCCTGGAGGGGTTTGAGGACATGGAGACCGGGCCCCAGATTTAAGTGCCGGGAAGGGGCCGCGGCTCAGTGGAAGTCCTGCCTCGCCGTTAGCAGCCGCCGTGCTTTTCTTCTGGCCTCTGTGCTTCAAGGCTGCCCGCAGAAATCCTGAGCAGCATCACTGAGTTCGTAGTTCATCGCGGTCCTTTGCGGTCGACGATGGCAGCACAGAGAACTGCTCCTCAGCTTGTGCCGCTGCTGTCTGTAGCTGTGGCTGGTCGCCAAGCAGCCACGCACCTTCTCACGAGAAGACGTGGAAGCTGCAACGGTTCAGGCTGGCATGCGGTGGCCACGGCATTTGCCGGCACTTCGTTGCGCTTGGCATGGCGCTACGGCACGACAGCTATGGGCAAGCATCCCAGCGTTCGGCGAGCTGGCACGGCGGTCGAGCGGCACCTGACGCGGCTGCCAGGTACTCGGCAGGCAGAGGATCTAAGGATGCCGCCTTCGTTGTCACAGCCCGTGCTGGAGCTTCGTCAAAGCTTCCGCTGTGCACCCCCGGGCCTTGTGCAAGCCCTGGCAGACGTGCTGGGCCTTCCGCGACAAGCCGAATTGCTGGCCCTGGCCCTTGGCGAAGATGCGGAGAAGGTGCTGACCAGCATGGCCAAGCAGCGGGCAGAGGCAGGGCAGTGCTCCTCACATTGCAGGTCTTAGACTCTTAGACCCCAGACCCCTGTTTGCTGCTTCCCAGGCGATCGCTTCTGGAGACCGTAGCATCGCAGTGGGACCGGATCGACTACTGGACGCGACCTGGGCTTTGGCAGGAGAAGCTGAGCTCGCCGAAAAGCTTTCCGAGATTTTCTCTGCATACCTGATGGAGATCCTGCAGATTGCGCGCGTGTCCGTCGCTTTCCAAGAGATGAGCGTCCCTGTCGCGGACTGGCGGCATGCTTGGGCTGACGCGGTGGTCACGAAAAAGCACGTCGCAGAGCTGTGGGCCGGGTCCGGGCAACTGGGCGTCGGCTTCACGACGCTGGATGCGGTCAGTCCGGAGCTGGCAATGCGTGCCCGTGCCGAACTTGAGACCATGGCGGCCCAGGGCGCGCTTTCCGACTTCTCGCAGAGCACTTGCAACCCTGGCTCTCAGCACCTGTGGCTTCGCTTCGCGTCACCAGAGGAGCGGCAGGACCTGCAGCGCCGTGCGCCTGCTCTTCTGGAGCTTGGTGAAGCACTGTCCGGCTTGCCTGGTGCACTCCAGCGCGTGGCACAGGCTGCGGGTATCCATGCACCTGCCATGCGGCTTTTCCCGTCGCTAATGGCAGCAACCTACGGCCCGGGCTCCCACTACGTCCCGCATCAGGACAAATATAGTGGAGGCAGTGCTGGGTTTGAGAACACACGCATGCTCACCATTCTTTGCTACCTGAACCCAGACTGGCAGCCTGGCGATGGTGGTGAACTGAGGGTCCTGGCCACTCGAAAGGAGCCGTCGGATCAGGTGCCCAGTGTGTCGTAACTACGATATAGTACGCCTAGGACGATGTCCTTAGAATCTCTTGGGTCCTACGTGTAGCCTCCTGGCCCCTGTGCAGCCTGGACCTGGCAGCCGTGTGCCGGAGCTTTTGCGCATCTCGGCGGACCATTCCGAGTCCACCGCATCCACAGCTTGCGACAGCGAGACCTTCGTGGCATGGCCTGAGAAAGTTCGAGAGAGACAGAGACAGATCTGACCAAGACAAGAAGAAGACATTGCGCCTCGAGCAATAAGTTTCAGACACCGCCGAAACCTTGAATGCCAACGAGGCCACAATACCACACTCAGCCACGTGCAGGAGGGCAGGTCCAAGGTAATGCGGTTGTGAGGGGTTCGAGAACCGGCTCATCTCCAAGCCCAGGTGGACATTCCTCCGCTTTTGGGTCGGATCGTCATGTTTCAGTCGCGAGAGGTCTGGCATGGCATACAAGCATCAAAAGCTGCCCGGCGCTGGGCGGTGACCCTTTGGCTCTTAGCTGGCTCGGACTAGGTCGTAGGGCGTGGAGACGAGCTTCTGAGATATGAGAGCTGTGAAAAGGAGTGAGACCGAAGGCGGCATGCCGTGCCTTCCAAGTTCGCATATCGTTTTGCTATCGGGCTCGTAGCAGCATCTGAATACTATTTGATCGGAATTTGCCAAGAGTGTTAAAGCAGTGTATCTACATGTTCCTAGTATTTCCATCGATTTTTCTACCACATCTTGGTAGTGGTTGCCTGCAACCCTGCAACCCACTAACATTCCAACAGCCACCGGCCAGTTTCTGCTGATATCGCAAGACGTGCAAAGCATTTCAGAGTACTTCCCTTTCCCAGAACTACTAGGACTATTTTGAACCGGCTCTTCAAGGAAGCTGCTAGGAATCAATACGAGTCTGAACTATGACAAAGACTCTGGACTTGCTGTCGCAACGGTCGTGGTAATGGACTAGCTCAAACCCGATGTAGTAGGAGTTGCGAAGCCCGGGAACCGAAACAACAACAGGCCGACACAGATGCACAGATTCAGTCACCCTCTGTCTGCTATTGTGGGTTCTTTGAAGATCGATTGGATGTCGACATGGGCCGATATACGACCCCCAGGTCTCTACATATCGCCCTAAGAAGGGCTACAGTAGCTACCCTAAACCCGAAACCCGAAACTCTAAACCCTGAACCCTAAACCCTGTATCGCTTCACTCTGGTTCATCCGCTCCTTTTCAGGGGCTACAGAACCGAACCTCCTGAATTACCGTCACTTCTTGCTCGGTTGACAACCGGGAACGTGGGGGAGCTCTAAACTGCGCCTCCCGACTGCCGTGCCCGCCTTTAGCAATCGCCATATATATATATATGTATGTATATATATATATAATAGCATGTATATATATATAATATACATATATAACAGCATGTATATATATATATATATATATAATTATATATATATATACATATTTTTTTCATTACATAAACTTATATTATGTTTCTATGTTATATTCGTTTATGCTCCGTTATGCTATGTTACATTAAACTACATTATATTACATTACTTTATGTTATATTACATTATGTTTTATTATGATATATTGTGTTTGACTTTATTACATCATTTTTTGCATTTCATTTACCCATACTATATTGTTATATTATATTATGTTATATTTCATTCCATTAAATGCTATAATATTCTATTATGTTATTTATTTTTTTGCATGATCTTTCATATCATATACTATCTATTGCAAAAATGGAATAGCTTATGCTCAGGGGCGACACCGACCAAATCCTCAAAGCCGGGGAGATCAAAGATATCGGCCTGCAGGTCATGCCAGGATTTGGACTTTAGGAATAAGCTTCAGGGATAGGGTTTAGGGCGTTTAGGGTTTCGGCTTTAGGGATGGGGGTTCAGGGATGAGGGGGTTTAGGATGTTGGGGCTTAGGCTTTATTTTGCAGCATTGGGGTTTTAAGGTTTAGGGCCTAGGATTTGCAGCCTTCAAGATGATGGCGGGTGCCAAGCTGGAGAGGCCACCGCCAAGATCCAGTCGTCCCCGACTCCGCTGCTTGCATTGATGCGCCTCTCCCAGGCCCCGGAACTGCACTTAGTTTTTCGGGTTTAGGGTTTAGGGGTGCGCTTGAGTCTTGGGAGCCCCTGCGCCCTGGCAGAATTTCCCGGCTCACGTGGTTGGCTTGTCGGGTCCCAAGAAGAGCTTTCGTGAAAAGCGACGCAGCAAAGACACGAAGCCAGAAGTGGCCACAGGTCACGAATCTCCGTGAAGAAGAGTCTTCGTGCCACCCTCAGTCACACATCTCACCGCAGCTCTGTGTCTCAACGGCAATTGTGAGCGACCGGAATGTCTTTTCAGATCCGATCAAAGACACATTTGCCATAGATGAGTCCCGAATGCCTCGGGCGAGTTTCACAAGTTCTCCGCCGCGTTTCGCTGACTGTTAACTGTTAACGACCAGATCTCGTAATTATTTGTTTGTGCGTGCGTATCTGCGCAACTGCGAAGTAATTATGTAGCAGTCACAGCATCCTATAACCGTCTTCCTCAATGCTGTTTGGCAGGACATCCTAAGACATAGCGGCAGATGACAGTACATGTATTTCAACGGTACGCTGTGGAATGAAACTTCCTTTTGCGGCCTAGTGTCTTGCTGCGATTCTGTGGCGTGGGTAGCAGTGCTAGATATTGCAAAGCATGCTAAGGTTCGTCAAGGCTCTGCCTGGACTAATCTGAGGTTCTTGCAACACGTATGTTGCATGTACGTGAAGGGCTATTTATCAGTCGTGGAATGCAGAAAGTTGCGAAGCTCTTGCAGCTTTGCCATGAAGCCCGACAACAATGTCTCGTGCTTAAGACACGGTACAATCTAATGCCTGTGTATATATATATATACACACACACATGTACATAGAATACATACATGCACACATGCATGCATGCATGCATGCATAGAACATGCAAGCATACAAAATGGTTGCTTACAGTACATTACATTACGTTACATTACATAGCATTACCTTACATTTCATTACGTTTCATTACATTTCACTACATTTCATTGCATTTCATTAGAGTTCATTACATTTCATTACACGTCATTACATGTCATTACATGTCGTTAGTTACATACACAGATATAGTTTTATGTTAACCGCAGAACTTGCAGCCGTTGAGATCGTGCTGCCTGGCTCACCCATCGTGTCGTACCCAATTTTTTACCAGCATCAAGTGTTCTACTGCAATGATACTTAACCATACTGTTTACATGACTGCTATCTGGTGAGATACTCCCTATTCTTGAGGTGCCCAAGGGCGAGAGCTGAGAGAGATGATGCGAGACGGTGCAGAGGTGCAGAAGCTCGAATTTTTCTGTATGGATTCATTCAGCGGTGTAGGTTTGGGGGTTGACCCTGGTGCTGACATTTCACCGGACGCTGCATGGAAGCCGCAAGTGCTGTATTTGCCCGGCGTTGTCCTTGCTTTCTGACTTTGACTGCTAGGAATAGGATGATGAAGCGGTTATTGAGGTCAGTGTTGTATAGTAGCTCCAGTAAATTCGTCGTGCTGCCGACAATTAGCATCTTCAGCCGAGATTGCACAAGTGTGCTCGACAGTGTGCCATCCCGCGAACGTAGCCGCACAACTGTCCCAACACAAGGCCCGATGGAACCCCCACGCCTTACATAACTCCTGGCCATCAAGATCGAGACCTTTCTCCTCGAATGCTCTCCAGGTTTTCAGCATGAACGGGCGCCTCGTTCGACCTGACCACTCGGACCTCTCGCTCTTCCCGCTGGCCCGGTGCCCGGAAGCAGCTGAGTCCTAAGTGGAGCCCAACAGCATCCTTTGAGCTGCAGATGGAAACTCTACATCCTTTCTTCGTGGGCGTGGAGAGGCTCGTTCGCTGGGAGCCCAAGTCTCTTACAGAGGTGCAGGTGTGTTCCGACACTATCACCTAGCAGTCACTCAATGTTGCATGTACCAGTCTGTTCTACATCACAAAGCCGTGGAAAAATGGGGGTACGGTACAACTTTGCGGGTGCTGAGGCCTTGGTGTCCCCGAGAAGGTGGCATGCGAAATCCTGAAGGCTGGGACCACGGCAGCTTCTCCCACAACTTATACTTCAATCACTTCACGTGGTGCATAGCACATCTGCAGCCTTGTGAGGAAGTGAAAGGCAGTGGCAAAGCAGCTGGCCGTGTGGACTGCGCTTTGTTGTGATGGTGCGTGGCGGTGTGAGTGAGTGGCTCATAGTGGCTCCATGTGCGAGAAAGTGGCCCTGGCTGAGTGTGAGTAGTGATGATCCTAGCCCACCGAGCTGGCACATTAGGGGACGTATGTGTGCAGTTGTGTATTTGCTTAGGCACATCGAAACATACCCCCACATCTGAACACCTTCTTGAAAGCCTTTGCAGCCCCAGTTTGTTCATTCGGGCAGGAGGGCGTTAAAGGGTGCGAGTGCATTCCTTGAAGGCGGAGGCGGCGTAGGGATATAGAAGAACAACGAGAATCAACAACGAATATCCAACCAGGCCTCCTATCAACCCTTCCGAGACGCAGGCGACACGGCATCAAGCAACAACGCCAGTGCCGTATTCGGCGTTCCTTCCGCACACGGGGATCCGAAAACCGACCCAACCGTGTAAATGGCGGGAGGCGCGAGGTTCTGTCAGTGGGGTCAGCAGAGTTTCACCCGCAGAGGCCGTGGGTCTGAGCCTGCCGGCTGGGGCTCGGAGTATGTTTTGTGGCTCCTCATGTCCAGAAAAAGGCAGATTCAGACATTCTGACAAGCAGTTATGCCATAAGTAAATGCATGCAGGCATACCAGAGTGCGCCTTTGGCAAAGCTGCAGGACTGGCGCTCGAAGGCTCTTCCGCCCTCACTGTACTCGGTGATGAAGGCCCGGATTTGGGGACCTTCGCAAGATCTGGATGCACTACACATTGGATCGAAGCCATCACGACGCTTGGCCGCTGCTGGGGCACCCTCAGCCGCACAGTACAGCCTACCGCTTGCAACTTTCAGAAATCTGTGGCCTCCAGAAGTTGAGACCGGAATCCAGAACGTGAGCGGCGGGAGGGTCCCAAGTAACCCCAAGCCCCCGAAGTGGCCGAAAACAGGATCGCGAAACGCAACGCTGGAGCAGCTCCCTGCGGAGCCTCTTCTTCGGCTTCGGGGGCTCGGCGCTCGGACGCTCCAACTTTGCGGTTCCCATGGCCCCCGGCTCCATACCTAAGCCCTAAACGCCCTAAACGCCCTAAACCTTAAACCCTAAACCCTAAGCCCGTCCTGAGCTTTTTGGGGTGAAGGCTCCCTTGGCCCCGACTCCCGTCCGCCACCTGAGAGGTCTGTCGCCCATAAGGCTGCCTCTTTACAACATCGCCTCTTGCATGCATCCAGGCGGAGGGACGCAGTGTTGTGCGCATTGTTGGTGGCTTGTGGTTCGAGTCGAGCCTATGGGAGTCATTCAGACAAGATTGCGGCAGTCTGATTTTGCGGAG